TTCCCCGACGCTTGGGACTGCATGACTGACCGTCGTCAGCATTTCAGGGGCATTCGCACTGTATGCAATGACCTTGAAAGTCTTCTCATCCAAGGCTAGCAAGCATCCAAACGGTTGGATCGTCTTGCCTTTCTGTATGTTATGGAGATAAGCAGTGGTCACTTTGTCGGACCTAGGTTGTTGATCTCCACCAACTGAACTGCCAACACGGACTGAGTTCGAGTAGTCAAAGGAACCACCCGATTCCTCGGCATGAATCTTTGCATCAACAGTTGTCTGAGCAATGATTCTAGAGCTGTGTCTAGACCGCCCTGGATTGCTTGATGAGTTACTAGGTCTAGAAGAAGACATTCTCGCACAAACTGCGAACAGAAAACAAACTAATCAGAAAGATATAAGAAGCATGGTAACACGAAAAGTTGGAAACCCTTCTGAAGATATTGCTAGCATTGATCCATAAAACAGTATAGGCTGATTCTAGTAATCATTGAGTTTATTTTCATCATATCAATCGCCGTTCGGATCATTGGAATACTGGACGTAAAAAATCAGTAGCAGAGCTCAGGATTTTTTACTAATAAGCTTTAATGATGCTGAAAATACCAAAACTTTTACACGACTGCATCAACAGAACTCTTTCTTCTCAAAACAGTATAAACACAAAGATCCTTAGCGTTTACAAAAACTGACAGAAACAAGTGAAACTAATTACTACAGAAACTTTAGTGAATGTAGAGCAATTACTCAACTTCAAGTTGATCTGATATCTTGAACAATTATCTAAGAACCAATTACTTCATTAAAGCAAACACAGGTAAGAAAAACGTAGAAACAACTAGTAATTCAAGCAGCCAAAGTAACTAAATCAAGACTATGAGTTTAATTCCCTATGAGCCCGAGTTCAAATTCCCTTCAAGTTGGATTAGTTTAAAGTAGAACATCGTTTATTCATTCGCTTGTATCAGAAAAATCAAAAACTAGGAGTCAACAACAATTCTAGCATCAAAAAGAAAAACAGCCATCTTCCTAAAAGTGATCAGAACCAGATATTTGCTACTAAACAAAAAATTAAAAAATAAATAAATTAGGCAAGAAAATAATTGCGTACAGCCTAACCTTTCTTCAGCTGCAGTACAAGCAAGCAGAGCTCAACTAAGTCTCTCAGGTGCAAACCCAACTTATAGAAAAACCAAATTGGCAAACAAAAACTTGGGATTACTACAAAATTGTTATTAAATTAAAAAATTGTCCACTGAGGTCTAGAACTTTCAATCCCATGCCCATCTGTCCCTGGACTGGACACCAATCCCAGCAGCAGGACTGGACTGTTAGTAAACAAAGGAACCGCCTTTAATAAAATAACAATAAAATAAAAAAAAAGAGTATAAATTTAAGAAAAGCAACAACTATGAGATGGGTCCACTCCAAAAACACAGAACAATGGAGATGGGTTTTTGCAGCAGGAAAAAGCTACCAAATTTGGTGGGGAGGGATTGGATGAGGGTTTTAGGTACCCTTTCCAAATGGGTAAATGAAGTTAGTTGATGACAGCCATAATTACCAAAGACCATCATCTCTCACTTCCCCTTCCAATCAATCCATGGAAATCTGGCGGTTCCCAACTGAAAATTGGAAAGAGAAAGCAACCCATTGGGCAGAATATACAGGTTAGAGTATTGTCATCAATTGCGCAGTTAAGCTGCTTCATGATTACTTCACGAACTAATGGGAAAGTTAGGTTTCCAGAGAGTGGGGAAGTAAGAGGGGGAGAGTTGGGATTTTCTAGGATCTGGGATAAAGGAAGAATAATGGTAAAGGCGTGGGCTTTGGCATTTGGAACTTTTAGTTTTTCAATGGGATGAAAGCAAAAGACGAGCAGGGGGGCTTATGAGGATCACGTGCAGTAACCCAATCCGATTGGCTGTATAACATCGGATTTTGGATGGTATTATAATATTATTGGTGATGGAGGATACGCATGCTATGTTGCTCTCACACTCAACGTTGTACTATTGAGTCGTAAGTAAGTTTTTTTACTTAAATTTTGTAACTTTGCTCATATGATATTGCACATATTGATTGTGGAGTAAAAAATAATCACAAGGGGACATGTAAATTTTTTGACAAAAGATAACAAAAATACTTTTGAGGTACAACGGGATTCCTATGCGCGAGCAGTGGGCAATCATCCTTCAACCAAATCAAAAGTGTCTAAAATAGGTAACAAATTCAAAGTTATTTCATCCATCCCCATCCTATATTTTCCACACGGTAATTATTTCATAACCTTCAAAACATCCCATATAAATTACATAACCCCCAAAATATTTATTCCAAAAATGTGTTGATTAACCAATTAATGAATTAATTGCCTAATTAATCCATTAAATCACACATTAAACCATAAGTTACACCCTATCCCTGTAAATAGGCTCCCATTTTCATCAAAATATCATTCCAACACACTTGCAAAATTCTCAATACTCTCCAAACATTTTTCTCTCTAAATTCTAACTTTGGCATCGAAGGTTCTTCGGCCAAAGCCCCCCCATTCATCGTGGACTCGTGAGACTATTTGCCTTGACCCTAAGGTGTTAATTGTTTTGTAGGTGCAATTTTATCCAAGATCAAGGGGAAAGAAATTTGCATCCACATTGATCTATTGTGGTGTTCTGGACATGTGCTTGTATCTCTTATTGCGTAATGGTCAAATCCTCCATTCGAAGGCCAATACAAATTACCATATATTTTTTTTGTAGTATTATTCACACACCTCTCTTTACCTTCTATACACTTTTGTTCGTTTTTCTCCGTTGATCTTCTTCAATTCATTTGATCCGTCGGACAAAAATTGAAAGGGATGTGTCAGAAGTAAAAACGGATATGTGAATAACCATATAAATTTTGTCGCATGGTCCCTTCTCTCACAAATGTGATACCACTGGTAAGGCTCACATGTCTACCGAATACAGGAGCCCAATGATTATGTGTGTTGCTGCACAATTATCTGGTTCGCCACTCAAATATTAGTTTTAGCACGACTCTAAGTTGTGCACTGAAAAATATATTCTCTTCACTATTTATAGTAGATACAAAACTTAGAGACTAAGCAATAACTACCAAACTTACTAGATCATGACACATGTAATACATCGACCAATGTCATATGTCATCATATTTGTCTTCACTGGCATCTTACACCAATAACATAATAACATGTCTACATAACGTCTGCTGTTATTTTTTCAATTTGCTAATTAGGTTGCTACCTTTGTTGGAGATGCACATTTTTCACGTGGCATAACAAATCTAACTTTCCTACTTAATCACTACATCCTTTAAGATACTCTTCTATATACTTCTTATAATAGTAATAGCGTTTCGAATCAATAATATAATAAGATGGGTCTTAACTTTTTCATAATATGAATATGACTGCCAAGCCAAGCGTAGTATCCCAGCAAGTGCATGTTAGTCTCTTTGGGTGTTGGCCCGTCCTTCTGCTCGAGGTTGGATCTCCTAGTAACTGGCACTATAGGGGGAACCATTAGATTTGGCCCATCCTTGTGCGTGGTCCAGACTCCATCGGCAGTCTTCCTTTTCCTTTGTCATCATCTGCAATATGCAGTAAATAAAGTTTAGGGCTGTTTTTGCAGATTCTGTGAAATGGCAATGGGTCGGGCACAAAATCGGATTTTGGATTTTGATCACATTTCATCTCCGTTCAAGTCTCCAAGATATTGTTGAGTGCAAACCTTTTCACCTGAATTGAGATCCGCTCCGGATCTCTGTGTCTAAACCGACGGACCAAGAAATCCGGACTACTTAATTTAAATCTTACGAACTCTATTAGCCTATCACATTAACTTGCTTCACCAACCTAAAAAAGGAAAAACAGTGTAAAACTTTTTTCTCTTTTTCTACTGTTTAGCGCTTACATGTAAACGCTATCAACCACCGGGTTCCTTGCGACGTAAATAAGTTATTGTTGTTGAGATGGGAGTGCAAGTAAACCCCTGTTTGAAAGTTTCACAAAAGTAATAACTTTCAAACTGAAATGTACTAATTTCTTTGTTCGGGTTTATAAACATAAAATTTAAAATCCAATGTGAGTAAAAAATCCATGCAATCCGGAGGTCATGAATCCTGAATTTTAAGCTTCATCTAAGTAGTGTCATTCCTAAAAATCCCAAGACAGTAGGAGGCTTAGGGAAAAAAATCACAACAATATACATTCTCACAACCACCCTCGCCACCTTGCCGCGGTCACCAATTCACCATGCCCCCACCATTACCGCCATTGCCGCTGGCATCACCCCTGCCCGTAACTTCTTGATGCTGCCATCGCTTCCACCGCCTCCGACAGAAAGAGTATTGGAATTTATTACCTAGGTAGTTTCTTGATGCTGGCCAACAAAAGCAATTGGTATTGTTCATCCATCATAACCAACCCCAGAAAACACAACTTAATCCTGCTCTCTTGAGCTTAAGGACTGAAAATCTAGTGATGCATCAAACAAATTGTATCCGTAAGCTGCTCCTGCCAGAGACACACGCAAAGATTATAGGAATCAAGTTTCTTTATGGTGAGTCTTTGTCGAAGCAAATTTCCGATTCTGTCCATTAACAAGGAGATGGGTAGGAGTAGGCTACGTCCAGAGTTTCGAACCCTGATAGTGCCCAAAATTCAGGCCTCGTTTGGTGCCTAGGATTGAACTAGATAACTCACTATATTGAAGTTGAAGGAACAAATAATGAAATTTTATCGGACTTTGATGGAAGAAAATGTATTACTCATGAAGGGAAATTATCCCTTCTAATCTAATACCCTCAAAAAGAAAAATCATCTACGTCCACCTTCATATATACATTTAATCATAATGATTTATCCAAAACGAATCCAATCTTAGACACCAAACGAGGCATTAGTTAACTGTGTATCTATTTTGATGATGTTCAACATAAAATGCATGATCTATAAGATAATTAAGAGGCAAAATTAAGAGGCAAAAGCAGGATTATACTGGTTTCCTTTCCAGACAATTATCTACTACAAATTGGCAGCTGCTAGCCTAATTTGTATGTAAAAACATCTAGGTATTCTGAAAAGATTATAGCAAAATAATGCATGAACTTGTAAAACATCTGGCTCAACACCTCATCGTTACACCGGAAAAAAAAAAAAAAAGAGATTCAAAACAGAATACAAGAAGTCCACTCAGATGACCAAAGTCAAGTGAAAACGGAATAAAGGTAGAAAAGGGTATACCGTAGATGCTCAACAGCATGACCGCAATATCTCATCCAAGACGCCTGTAAATGAGGCACCCCCGGACTCAGTCATTGGGTTGACAAAGTTTTAAACTTTACATTCTACAATCTACACAATAACAGAAAGAGAAAAAAAAAAGTACTATATAAAAACACAATGTATGAACGAAAAACTACAAATTCAAAGAATTCAACCTCTTCCACTCCTACAGTTGATCAAAATACACTCCTCGTCTTTCAAATGTACACCCCATTTCTTCAGGAAGCAATGCAAGACGAATGCGGTTTCCCATATGTACTATAGGCTTAGATTTGTAATCACACGACAAAAAGACAAGAATATGTTCTTGAAATCAAATCAAAGCTTGGTTTCTCCATCTGCTGCATAGAAGCTGTCCTAAAAGCATATATTCTTAAAACCAATGTGCACCATCAAAACCGCCAAAAAGCACGGAAACTATCATGACACCGAGATCAAAAGGCTTTTAATTTCAAAAAAAATTCAAACACCCTTGCCATCGGTATCAAAATTCGGAATCCTCCCCAGTTCAGTTCGAGAAAATTCTTAATGGTCATCACTTCCACACAGCAAAAACACCAAAAAAGTGCAAAAATTGATAATAATATCCTTCAAATTCAATCCATTTTATATGAGGAAACATCAATATCTAAGTGGGGATTGCAATCTTTGGAATAAAATCCATTGCTCTCAACAAAAGCTCTCAACATCCCAAAAGTAAAATTTGGGTGCTCAGGGTCACTGGTCTGAGACCCCCTTGGGGAATCCAGAGTTGGGGATTGCGTGAAACAAAAGTAACAACCTTTATTACCACCACCATCACCGCCACCTCCTCCAAACCTCTTACCTGAAGAAAAAGCACGAGACGGCGCAAAATAGGAAGATCCAGAAGCAGAACCAGAAGCGGAAGCCCTTGGCTTGGCTTTTCTGGGAAGCTGCTTTTTGGATCTTCCAAACGGATGCAGGACCACCTGCTTCGCCTTTCGGAAATTTCTCGACAACCCACCACCACTAAACCCTCTCTGCTTCTTTGCCTTCTCCTCACTGCATCTGCATCTTCCGTGCGACCCACCACTACCACTACCACTGCCGCCGCATTCCTCGTCATCGTCGTCGCCATCATCGCCCACCACACAGCCACCACCACCACTGCCGCCAACAACGCTTGATATCTCCTTTTCAACCAAAGACATCAAATTTATGTATCAATTTCGATGCTTTTCACCAAAAACAAACTCCAAAAAGACCAATAATTTCATCAAAGCTTTGAAATCGATCAAAAGGGTTGAACCAAAAGAGGAAATGGCGACGACAGATGAGAATTCGAATTGAATTTCCAGATCTTCTTGAAGAACGGACAGAAACTAGAGATTTCTCCGCCAATGTTCCAGGAAAAATCCAAACTTCGTGTTGGGTTATAAATTTTCGGTTCTCAAGTCCCCAGTCCCAACCTCACAAGAACTGTAAAAAGCGGGAAGAGGACGCGTGGTGGTTTTCTGGTGGGTTTAATGGCATTTGGTGGCGTTACGTGCTCGTACGACTTTGATTAGTTTAGTTTTTAAGCCCAAAAGCCCTTATCCTTCTTAAGTCTTCTCTAAATGCTTCTTTCACATTCACTTTGGACCTATTTTTATATTCCTTAATACTCTTTTTCTATTTTCCTTTCAAATGTTTACTTCACAGAATACGTACTAAGGTTGAGTACCGTGTTCATTTCGAATATGTCTTACATTTATTAGTATGTAAGAAATTAAAAAAATGGGTGGATTCATAAAAATAAAGTATCTGATCAACCAAGTATTGTTTTTTTAAGAGAGGTTTCTCAATGTGTTCGGAATGCAAGATGAAACATGTGGATGCAAATTTCTTCCTCCTTGATCTTTGACAATTTTGCACCTACGAAACAATTAACACCATAGGTTAAGGTTAAGAGCCTCACGCGCCCACGATGAATGGGGGGGGCTTTGGCCGAAGAACCTCCGATGCCAAAGTTAGAATTTAGAGAGAAAGAGTGTTTAGAGAATTTTGGGATTTTTGCCCTAGTGTTGGAATTTTCTCCTCTTTTTGGTGAGAATGGGAGTATATTTATAGGGATAGGAGGTGGCTAGGGTTTTTTTGGGTTTAATTAGGAGTTACAAAATAATTAGCCAATAACTCCCTAATTAACTTGGCTAATTATTTGTCATATAAAGGAAAAAAGGTAGAAGGATGAAAGGTGGCCGGCCTTTTTGTGGGAGTTAGGGTAAAGTGAATGGTCTAAATGCTAATTAAGGGAATAATTAGCTAATTATCATTATTTTAGAAGGAATGTTTTAGGAATTATGGAATAGGTATAATATTTAGCTTACTGATTAGCTAAATAATGAAATAGGAAATATATGAATAAATTAGGTTTTAAGTTGATACCTATTTTGGGCACTTTTGACTTGGTTGAGGGATAATTACCTGCTGTTTGCACGTGGGAATCCCGGTATGCCCCAAGGGTAGTTTTGTCTTCTTTTGTCAAAAATCCACGTGTTGCCTTGTGAATATTTTTGGCTCCACAAATGCCCTCACACCTGTTAGGCTGCTCGCAGAAAAAGGCAGCAGGTGTAGAGATCTTCTTGCTTTAGGAAACTTAGGACTGCTTCCTATTTTGATGTAGATTCTCTCTTTAATATGAAATTAGATCCTTCTAGGAAAGGGAAATAAATTTCTCTCAAAGCCTATTTAAGTCCACTTTAAGTAGTTATTAAATCAACTTTGGAGAGCGATTTATTCTACCCTACAAGAGAGAGATAGCTTAGAGGATATTTGTTCCCCCTCCTCTAGCAATCTTCTACATCTTGCCCGTGTAAAGGACCGTCTTTCGTTGCTTTCTTCGTCTTCTTCGTGCCGCACTGATGTAAGAAAAAATTAATTTTCCTTGTCTTCTTCTTGAATGGTGCTACCGTGGGGCAGCCGTCGGGGTGGTGCGGCACGTTGGCTGGCATAGGCCGATGAGGTATTGTGGCAGGGACTACTGTTTTAAGCTGCTTGACTTGGCTAGAACCAAGGGCAGCTTGTGTGGCTGGGGCCGCAGATTGTGGTGCTAGGGCGCAGTACTAGGTGAGTCACATGGTTCATGTCCTTTTAGGCTTTTGGACACGATGCGAGCTAGGCGGTTGATTGAGAGAAATGAAGAGGTTGCGGGCCTCATGAGCTGCTGGAATGTTGGGTTGAACTCCCTTGCTAGGTACCACGAATGGCGTTGGTTACTTTAACTCTATTCATCAGGAGAAACGTGGGCTGCTCCCAAAAGATGAGGTGAATAGGATCAAGGTGGATGCATTGGCTCGTCTAATCACTGTTGTGGATTCTGCTGCAAGTGAAAGTGGGAAAATGGATCTTCCCTGCCTGCTCAAGAGATGCCGGCTGAGAAAACCAAAGATTTCTTTCGCTCGCGTGGGTTCGTTGACTGCCTCCAGGCTTGTGATTGACTTGACTTTTTCCAAGGGGACAAAAAATGAGGCTGCTAGATCTGAGCATGTGGCGCCTGCCATGTCAAGAATGGCTAGTACGATTGCTGATAGGATTGTTCGGCATAAAGGTCCTGTCATGTCCCTAGTGCCGAATTTTGCACCAAGACGTCTATTGGGAGCTAAGTCCGGTTCACCTTTGGAGAGGCTTGCTATTATGAAGAGCGATAAGGTGGACTCTGCTGCTAAAGTGGCACCAAGGCCCATTCCTTATGCTGCTGAGACTGATTCGCCTACTGGGAATGAGGAAACTGCTCGCGTAGGCAGCTGTGAGAAATCTACTGAGATTGCTTCTAGGGAGGCTGTTGAGATCTATGTGCTTTTGAAACCAGATCTCTTGAAAACATGGACGCTTGTGCCACGTTTGTTAATGACGTCAGAAAGGTGTTTACCCAAGCTCGTTTGTGAAGCATACGACCCAATATAAAAGGACTGCTCTGCTTGCTATGATGCAGATATAGCAAGGCTGCTAAGGAGATGGCAAATACTATGGCAGATTCTGAGCTCGTTGCTTTGAAATGGTCTAATATTTCTGCCCTCACTTCTCTACAGCTTGAGACCGCTCGCCACGAGATCGTTGACTTGAAGACTAGGCTTGATGCGATCCAAGTTAAGTATGAAAATACAAAGAAGGAGATTGAATGTTACAATACCTCAGATTCAAGATCTTGAGTTTACAATTTCTAAGCTTCATTTCGCTGCTTATGCAAATGATGAAAAGTTACTTGCTGTTTATGCTAAGAAGGGAGTGGAGGAGCTGTAACGTGTCCGTGTTAGTCTGCTTAAGAAAAATGAGCAGCTGAAGAGTGAGAATGATGGGCTTGAGGTTTCAAGACCTTCTCTATTTCTCTGGAAAACTTGCTTGCTTTTATTTTTTAGGCTTCCATTGGTGAAGTAGTTCGAGAAGTTAGTGCCCAGGCTGGGGTAGCTTGGGGTGAGTCGCCGGATGATGCCGCTGCTAAGAGCGTTAAGGCTGCTGAAGGTGTGGCGACCGAGTAGTCGTGGGATGTCCAAGCTACTGTAGTGTAGTATTCTAGGTAGCCTTTTGTTTTTCCTTGTAGCTCTTGTTTTGCTTGAACTCATTCGGCCTTTGCTAGTTGTTTATAAACATGTTTTCCTTCGCTTTTCTTCATCTTCGCTTCTTTTATTCATGCCCTAACCTTTAGACTTGATAGACCAGTGGCAGACATGTTACTTTTTTTTTATAAGCAGACAAGCTTGCGTAGCCTATACAGCCGTAGGTGTTGGTGTAGAACTTTGCAAAGTTGTTAGCCATAGGGTTGTCAGCCGGATGCCTTACTTATAGAAGCAGACAAGTCCGCGTAACCACTAGGCTGTTAACCTTGACTTTCTTCAATTCCGTAGGTTGCGTAGCAAGTATCACAACACTTTAGGACTTGGTGTAGGTTGTTCCGCGCTTGGCAGAGGTGAAGCTTATCGACTACGTAGCATGTCGGCAGTGGATAAAACTTCGTATATGCGCACTAGCTTGTTTAACCTTTCACAAGAATGTGCGGTTGTATAAGTCTAGCACGGCTTTACTGCTCGAAGGGCAAGCTGTAGGCAGTCTTCCAGAATCTGTAGGCTACCTTAGTGCACTCGGTAGCAGCTTTAGGGTTCCAGGGCAGCCGTCTATAGGGCGTACTGCGTAATGTGCCCCCTCCGTCTTTAGGGCCCGATTCTCTGCGGATTAGGCCAAGAGACCCAAAATCCTTCAGTTAGCTAAGCCTTGAAAAAGACTATTATGGCTAATTCTGGGAATCCCGGCGTAAGCCATCATGCATCTAATTGTACTAGGGCAGCCAGGCTCATCCACGTCTGGATATTCGGAGTGTAAAGTTTATCCTCTCGTCTTGGAGAGCTGACCTATATGGGTGTCGGGGAATTGGTTTACCCTCTCCCACTGAAGAGCAATTAGTTTACCCTCTCACACTGGAGAGCATGGTTGGTCCCTCGAGGGGCGTAATTCTTGCGATGGGTCCCTAAGAAGGGCGCAGTCTTCTTTTGAAGTGCCAGAGTGATCAGTTGTTGTAAGCATGCAGCCGAGCCAAGTTGTGATTACTTCTGAATTCCTCATTGAAAAATGAGTGAAACGAACGAGAACTTAGTTGTAAGGTAAGAACTGCATAACAATTGGATAGTCCTCGACTTGTGAGGGGTTGCCCGCCGAGCTTCTTGAGTCTTCGGGCTTTGATGTAGTGGGAGGTCACACATGGTACTTCTTCAGATTGTAGGAGCTCCACTACTTTTTGATCTTTTTATCGTTTCATGGTGGCGAGGGTGTAATTACTCTTGCCGCTTATTCTGCTGATCTTGTACGGACCTTCCCAGATGAGATCCATCTTTTTGGAGCCTTCTTTGTGGGCAATGATGAAGGCTTTTCTTAGGACTAGATCTTTAGGCTGGAACTGCCAGATCTTGGCCCTTTTGTTGTAGCTGGAAAGGAATTACTGCTGGTAAGTTGCGATGAGGGTGATAGTCTGCTCGCACTTCTCCTCTGCCAGATTTAAGCTTGTGGCCATCTCTTTTTGGTTGCTCGTCTTTTGGTGGTGCGATATGCCCATAGACATCCAGGGAGTTCGTCTGGCCATTTTCTTTTCTTACTGGTGGGGGATTTCTTGTGGCAGTCGAGGATCATCTTGGTGGATACTTTGGCCTGCTTATTGCCTTGAGAATATCTTGGTGTAGACATGTGCTGCTTGATGCCATATTTTTGGAAAAACTTCGCCAAATCTTTGCCCACGAATTGCGGGCCGTTGTTGGTGACGATGGATTAAGGGATGCCAAATCGGTAAATGATGTTCCTCCATATGAAGCGCTCTATGTCCGTCTGAATCATGGTCGTCATGGGCTCTGCTTCTACCTATTTGGTGAAGTAGTCGGCTGCCACGATCATCATGCATTTGCCCCTAGTAGTCTGGCTGGTGATTAGCTGAGAATCGAAATGAATTGAAAGTTTTTCACCACCAAGTCTTTTGTAATTCAAATGCCTGCTAGTGGGGCTTCGTACTCTGCTTCGTTGTTAGATGCTTTGAAACCTAGAATGATCGCCTGCTCGGGCATCGAACTGCCTGGGGTGACAAAGACCACGTCTGCT